AGTTCAAAAGCATCAATTTTTCGGCACTCATGAGAAATGCTGGGCTGGAAGAAGCACAAGCTGGAATCAAGATTGCCGGGAGAAATATCAATAGCCTCAGATATTCAGATGACACCACCCTTACAGCAGGAAGTGAAGAGGAACTAAAAAGCCTCTTGATGAAAGTGAAAGAGGAGAGTGAAAAAGTTGGCTTAAAGCTCAACATTCAGAAAACCAAGATCATGGCATCTGGTCCCATCACTTCATGGGAAATAGATGGGGAAACGGTGGAAACAGTGTCAGACTTTATTTTTTTGGGCTCCAAAATAACAGATGGTGATTGCAGCCGTGAAATTAAATGACGCTTCCTCCTTGGAAGGAAAGTTATGACCAACCTAGACAGCATATTAAAAAACAGAGACATTACTTTGCCAACAAAAGTCTGTGTAGTCAAGGCTATGGTTTTTCCAGTGGTCATGTATGGATGTGAGAGTTGGACTGTGAAGAAAGCTGAGTGCCGAAAAATTGATGCCTTTGAGCTGTGGTGCTGGAGAAGCCTCTTGAGAGTCCCTTGGACTGCAAGGAGATCCAACCAGTCCATCCTAAAGGAGATCAGTCCTGGGTGTTCATTGGAAGGACTGATGCTGAAGCTGAAACTCCAGTACTTTGGCCACCTCATGCGAAGAGTTGACTCCTTGGAAAAGACCCTGATGCTGGGAGGGATTGGGGGCAGGAGGAGAAGGGGAAACAGAGGATGAGATGGCTGGATGGCATCACCGACTTGATGGACATGAGTTTGAGTAAAGTCAAACCTATACACCTATACACAAGACCCTATACAGAAGACAGCAAAAGAGACATAGATGTAAAGAACAGACTTTTGGACTCTGTAGGAAAAGGCGAGGGTGGGACGATATGAGAGAATGGAATTGAAACGTATATTACCATATGTAAAATAGATGACCAGTGCAAATTCGATGCATGAAGCAGGGCACACAAAGCTGGTGCTCTGGGACAACCCAGAGGAATGGGGTGGGTGTGGAGGGAGGTGGAAGGGCAGTTGAGGATGGTAGGACACATGACATGTCCACCCATGGTTGATTCATGTTGATGTATGGCAAAAACCACCACAATATTGTAAAGTAGCCTCCAAATAAAATAAATAAATGAATGTTTAAAAAAGTGCCCATTGTAGTCTGACAACTGACAATGAAATATTACTGAACTGAAAATACTAAGTAATTTGAGGGAATAATGTCCACACACTGTCAGAAGCCTTTACAGTAGCAATTGTAGGAGATAATTAAAACTGGTTAAAATATATAGAAACAAACAAAAACAATGAAGTATTAATGAATATGAAGAGATGTAAATTCATTAGATGAATAAGGCATTATTTACAAGACAGTCTGGGGAGTGGTCAAGGTCAGGGGCAGTGGCTGAGAGGAGCAACCCCACGTCCAAGATCAGGAGTCGCAGCCGAGAGGAGCTACCCCACGTACAAGGTCAGGAGAGGCGGCCGTAAGGAGATACCCTACATCCAAGGTAAGGAGCAGTGGCTGCGCTTTGCTGGAGCAGCTATGAAGAGATACCCCACGTCCAAGGTAAGGGAAACCCAAGTAAGACGGTAGGCTCTGAGAGAGGGCATCAGAGGGCAGACAGACTGAAACCACAATCACAGACAACTAGCCAATCTGATCACATGGACCACAGCCTTGTCTAACTCAATAAACTAAGCCATGCTGTGTGGGGCCATCCAAGACAGATGGGTCATGGTGGAGAGGTCTGACAGAATGTGGTCCACTGGAGAATGGATGGCAAACTACTTCAGTATTCTTGCCTTGAGAATCCCAAAAACAGTATGAAAAAGCAAAAAGATAGGACACTGAAAGATTAACTCCCCAGGTCGGTAGGTGACCAATATGCTACTGGAGATCAGTGGAGAAATAACTCCAGAAAGAATGAAAGGATGGAACCAAGGCAAAAACCACACCCAGTTGCAGATGTGACTGGTGATAGAAGCAAGGTCCGATGCGGTAAAGAGCAATATTGCATACGAACCTGGAATGTTAGGTCAATGAATCAAGCCAAATTGGAAGCGGTCAAACAGGAGATGGCAACAGTGAGTGTCGACATTCTAGGAATCAACAAACTAAAATGGACTGGAATGGGTGAATTTAACTCAGATGACCATTATATCTACTATTGTGGGCAGGAATCCCTTAGAAGAAATGGAGTAGCCATCATAGTCAACAAAAGAGTCTGAAATGCAGTGCTTGGATGCAATCTCAAAAACGACAGAATGATCTCTGTTCATTTCCAAGGCAAACCATTCAATATCACTGTAATCCAATCTATGCCCGACAAGTAACGCTGAAGAAGCTGAAGTTGAACGGTTCTATGAAGACCTACAAGACCTTCTAGAACTAACCCAAAAAAGATGTCCTTTTCATTATAGGGGACTGGAATGCAAAATTAGGAAGTCAAGAAACACCTGGAGTAGCAGTCAAATTTGGCCTTGGAGTACAGAATGAAGCAGGGCAAAGGCTAATAGAGTTTTGTCAAGAGAACGCACTGGTCATAACAAACACCCTCTTCCAACAACAAAAGAGAAGACTCTACACATGGACATCACCAGATGGCCAACACTGAAATCAGATTGATTTTGCAGTCAGTGATGGAGAAGCTCTTACAGTCAGCAAAAGCAAGACTGGGAGCTGACTGTGGCTCAAATCATGAACTCCATATTGCCAAATTCAGACGTAAATAGAAGAAAGTGGGGAAAACCAATACACCATTCAGGTATGACCTATATCAAATCCCTTTTGATTATACAGTGGAAGTGAGAAATAGATTTAAGGGACTAGATCTAATAGACAAAGTGCCTGATGAACTATGGACAGAGGTTTGTGACATTGTACAGGAGACAGGGATCAAGATCATCCCCAAGAAAAAGAAATGCAAAAAAGCAAAACGGCTGTCTAAGGAGGCCTTTCAAATAGCTGTGAAAAGAAGAGAAGCAAAAAGCAAAGGAGAAAAGGAAAGATATACCCATTTGAATGCAGAGTTCCAAAGAATAGCAAGGAGAGATAAGAAAGCCTTCCTCGGTGATCAGTGCAAAGAAATAGAGGAAAACAATAGAATAGGAAAGACTAGAGATCTCTTCAAGAAAATTAGAGATGCCAAGGGAACATTTCATGCAAAGATGGGCTCAATAAAGGACAGAAATGGTATGGACCTAACAGCAGCAGAAGATATTGAGAAGAGACGGCAAGAATACACAGAAGAACTGTACAAGAAAGATCTTCATGACCCAGATAATCACGATGGTGTGATCACTCACCTAGAGCCAGACATCCCAGAATGTGAACTCAAGTGGGCCTTAGGAAGCATCACTACGAACAAAGCTAATGGAGGTGGTGGAATTCCAGTTGAGCTATTTCAAATCCTAAAAGATGATGCTGTGAAAGTGCTGCACTCAATATGCCAGCAAATTTGGAAAACTCAGCAGTGGCCACAGGACCAGTTTTCATTCCAATCCCTAAGAAAGGCAATGCCAAAGAATGCTCAAACTACCGCACAATTGAACTCATCTCACATGCTAACAAAGTAATGCTCAAAATTCTCCAAGCCAGGCTTCAGCAATACGTGAACCATGAACTTCAAGCTGGTTTTAGGAAAGGCAGAGGAACCAGAGATCAAATTGCCAACATCCACTCGATCATGGAAAAAGCAAGAGAGTTCCAAAAAACATCTATTTCTGCTTTGTTGACTATGCCAAGACCTTTGACTGTTTGGATCACAATAAACAGTGGAAAATTCTGAAAGAGCTGGGAATACCAGACCACCTGACCTGCCTCTTGAGAAACCTGTATGCAGTTCAGGAAGCAACAGTTAGAACTGGACATGGAGCAACAGACTGATTCCAAATAGGAAAAGGAGTACGTCAAGGTTGTATATTGTCACTCTGCTTATTTAACTTATATGCGGAGTACATCATGAGAAAGCCTGAGCTGGAAGAAGCACAAGCTGGAATCAAGATTGCCTGGAGAAATATCAACAATCTCAGGTATGCAGATGACACCACCCTTATGGCAGAAAGTGGAGAGGAACTAAAAAACCTCTTGATGAAAGTGAAAGAGGAGAGTGAAAAAGTTGGCTTAAAGCTCAACATTCAGAAAACTATGATCATGGCATGCGGTCCCATCACTTCATGGCAAATAGATGGGGAAACAGCGGAAACAGTGGTTGACTTTATTTTTGGGTGCTCCAAAATCACTGCAGATGGTGATTGCAGCCATGAAATTAAAAGAGGCTTACCCCTTTGAAGGAAGGTTATGACCAACCTAGACAGCATATTAAGAAGCAAAGGCATTTCTTTACCAACAAAGGTCCGTCTAGTCAAGGCTATGGTTTTTCCAGTAGTCATGTATGGATGTGAGAGTTGGACTATAAAGAAAGCAAAGCACCAAAGAATTGAGGCTTTTGAACTGTGTTGTTGGAGAAGACTCTTGAGAGTCCCTTGGACTGCAAGGAGATCCAACCAGTCCATCCTAAAGGAGATCAGTCCAGGGTGTTCATTGGAAGGACTGATGCTGAAGCTGAAACTCCAATACTTTGGTCACCTGATGTGAAGTGCTGACTCATTGGAAAAGACCCTGATGCTGGGAAAGATTGAGGGCCAGCGAAGAAGGCGACGATAGAGGATTAGATAGTTGGATGGCATCACCGACTTGATGGACATGAGTTTGGGTAAGCTCTGGGAGTTGGTGATGGACAGGGAGGCCCGGTGTGCTGTGGTTCATGGGGTTGCAATGAGTCGGACAGGACTGAGCCCCTGAAATGAACTGAACTAGGGAGGTTTGGTTAAACATCACTGCAATTACCTTTTAGTATTCATGATAACAATAAAGTGAATAAATAAATGGTATTCTAGAAGTTCTCTTATCATACTGTAATGTAAAAAGAACTGTTAAATGGTGACTTAGTGTTAAATACCAAAGAAAACCACAGTAGTATACCTGAGACATGTAACCAGGAGGAAGATATATTGGTGGTAAAGTACCACTTGGTGACATCAAAGGTACATCAGCAGGTCCTAAAGGAGAATTATTATTAATAAAATTTTGAATAAGTTTAAAAAAATCCATTTAACTTTCCACAGTGAAAACTAGTCCCAAGTCTTAACAAGTCACCCATTTTGAAAGTGTATTTTGTTTACTTACATAGGAGACTAGGTAGGAATGTAGATAAATCAATACAAATTCATCACAAATGATGAAAAATAACCAAGGTATGTAACGGGGATTGGGTGAAATTTATATCATAAAAATTTTGGCTAAATACACAGCTAGTGTATTTACTTCAAGTATAATTGTTTTTGGGCTTCTAGGTGGTGCTAGTGGTAAAGAATCTGCCTGCCAATGTAGGAGACACAGGGGACGTGGGTTTGATTCCTGGGTCGGGAAGATCCCATGGAGGAGGGCATGGCAATCCATTCCAGTATTCTTGCCTAGAGAAACCCATGGACAGAAGAGCCTGGTGGGCTACAATCCATAGGGTCGTAAAAAGTCCGACATGACTGAAGTGACTTAGTACATACACATAATTGTCTTTTACTTACTCATTTTGTTCACCTATTATAGTTGTATGTTGAATAATAGAAGTTTTACTCTGTATCATAAAATATATTTTATAGTGATATTATATAAAAAACTTAAATCAATTTTCACATGAAGGCTTTTAACTAATATTAGCAAAGTGAGATAATTTGGGAGGAACAACATAACATAAAGGACCCAATGCTACTCATGTGATGCCTTATTTTTATACTTACTATCTTAAACTATCTTAAATAGTATTCTTACTATCTTAAACACATATAGCATAGGAAATAAAAATACAACACAGAATAGAGACATTTATATATCAGCATTCTTTTGTTTATCTGAAATTATTATAATTAGTGCTTAGTTGTAAAAGTATATGTGGCTTCAAGGCCTAGAATGGTAATTTGCTGTTAATAAGGGGAAAGTAATAAAGATGAGTTTATGGTAAATTGTATGTAGCAGCCATATGGAACCCAATGCTAAATGATGTTTCAAAGCAACTTGAGACATATCTCAAAATCACCTTCAGATGCAAAATAATTGGCATAAAAACAGAAAAAATCACTGCACTTTGAAATAATAGTACATCTTTAAAAAAATTATTATTATTATTTATTTATTTATTTTAGCTGTGCTATGTCTTTGTTTCTGTGTGGGATTTTCTCAGGTTGTAGCAAGCAAGGACTACTCTCTACTTGTGGTGTGTGGGCTTTCATTGTGGTCGCTTCTCTTGAGCACAAGGTCTAGGGTGTGCAGACTTTAGTAGTTGCAGCACACGAGCTCTAGAGCACAGGTTCAGTAGTTATGGTGCATGGGCTTAGTTGCCCTGTGGCATGTGGGATCCTCTGGGACCAGGGATCAAACCTGTCTCCTGCATTGGCAGACGGATTCATTACCACTGATCCACCAAGGAAGCCCCAGTAATAAATCTTAAATGAAGTAAATATTTATTAACTTTGTACTACTACTGAAATAATTATGTATGCTGCACATTTGCTATATACACATGTATATAGATAGATATAAAACTTTTAATAGTTATATATAAATAATTTCCCCCATCCTATACATTTTTCTATCTTAAATGTTTACTGTAGTGCTGGAATGGGCTTCCTAGGTGGCTCAGTGGTGAAGAATCTGCCTGCAATGCAAGAGTCGCAGAAGCAGGTTCGATCCCTGGATAGGGAAGATCCCCTGGAAGAGGGTATGGAAACCCACTCCAGTACTGTTGCCTGGAGAATCTCATGGACAGAGGAGCCTGGTAGGCTACAATCCATAAGGTCACAAAGAGTCGAACACGACTGAAGCAACTTAGCTTAGTGCTGGAATAGGCTAGGCATTAATGAAATACTTGTTGAATATATGAATGAATGAGTTGTCTGGAGCACTCACAAGTCTCCTATCAGAGGATAGTCTAAAACTATCAGTGGTTGTGAATATTTCCAAAATCTGGACTTTTTCAAATGGAATTCTTCAATTTTAATTTTTATAAGTACTTTACATGAAGGTCTGTAGTAACACTAGCAAGATGAGTCCTGGTTGTTCTGTTGACATTATGCTCCTATGAGGAGTATATAAACTTAAGAGCACTCAATATGGCTCAAACAAGAAAGGATAGTAGGGGATTATATTACTAGTAAAGTCGTCTCACACTAATATTTAAATTCACCTCTATTTGATATCAAACAACATACATACTTTTACCGACCTTGAATATTTTGAATGCTCCCATCATCGGACTTGATGGTGAGGGTCTCCCCAGGGTTAACATGCACCAATATAATCTAGAAACAAACCATTCTTTAATGGCATATTTTCCATTAATCTATGAAAAAATCATCATTGTCTTTTTGAAAAAATGTTCAAAATCACTAACTGGGGTCTCAAAATGCTCAAGGAGTAGAGTACAACTAGGCACTAAGTAAGAGCAGGTCCCCCTCACCCTAGTAAAACTTAATACAATAACATCATAGGAAATAGGTGTATTGAGATGGAGGAATCAAATTCCACCCCTCCAAAAAAAAAAAATCTGCAAAAAGAGAAAAACAGAAAACTAAACTTATCTGAAGGAAAAATTCGAACATACTTGTTGTACCCAGTATTGAGGGCAAGAAGACCATCTGGTATTTATCTTGGGATGAGTCATCATTTGTGAATAATCAGCAGTACACTGGGTTCCAACAGTGGTATCCAGATAACTCTCCATCTAGTAAAAAGTAATTTTAATTTTAATAAGGTCATTTTTATACTGGCTGCTTTTGACATGGTGATGTCAAAATGATAAGCTAGAAGTACAATATTTGCTCATTTTTTTTAAGTTCTGAAGAAAAACAGAGACCTTTTCGCATTTAGTTCAGTTCAGTTCAGTCGCTCAGTCGTGTCCGACTCTGCGACCCCATGGACTGCAGCACGCCAGGCCTCCCTGTCCATCACCAGCTCCCGGAGTTTACTCAAACTCATGTTCATCGGGTCAGTGATGCCATCCAGCCATCTTATCCTCTGTCATCCCCTTCTCCTCCCACCTTCAATCTTTCCCTGCATCAGGATCTTTTCCAGTGAGTCAGTTCTTCCCATCACGTGGCCAAAGTATTGGAGTTTCAGCTTCAGCATCAGTCCTTCCAATGAATATTCAGGACTGATTTCCTTTAGAATTGACAGGTTTGATCTCCTTGAAGCCCAAGGGACTCTCAAGAGTATTCTCCAATGCCACAGTTCAAAAGTATTAATTCTTCAGTGCTCAGCTTTCTTCACAGTCCAGCTCTCACATCCATACATGACTACTGGAAAAACCATAACTTTGACTAGACGGACCTTTGTTGGCAAAATAATGTCTCTGCTTTTTAATATGCTGTGTAGGTTGGTCATAACCTTCCTTCCAAGGAGTAAACTTCTTTTAATTTCATGGCTGCAGTCATCATATGCAGTGATTTTGGAGCCCCCCAAGATAAAGTCAACCACTGTTTCCACTATTTCCCCATCTATTTGCCATGAAGTAATGGGACCAGAAAGAGAAGGCAATGGCACCCCACTCCAGTACTCTTGCCTGGAAAATCCTGTAGATGGAGGAGCCTGGTAGGCTGCAGTCCACGGGGTCGCTAAGAGTTGGGCACGACTAAGTGACTTCACTTTCACTTGTCACTTTCACTCATTGCAGAAGGAAATGGCAACTCACTCCACTGTTCTTGCCTGGAGAATCCCAGAGACGGGGGAACCTGGTGGGCTGACGTCTATGGGGTCACAAAGAGTTGGACACGACTGGAGTGACTTAGCAGCAGCAGCAGCAGCAGCAATGGGACCGGATGCCATGATCTTAGTTTTCTGAATGTTGAGCTTTAAGCCAACTTTTTCACTCTCCTCTTTCACTTTCATCAAGAGGCTCTTTAGTTCTTATTCACTTTCTGCAGTAAGGGTGGTTTCATTGGCATACCTGAGGTTGTTGATATTTCTCCAGGCAATCTTGATTCCAGCTTGTGCTTCTTCCAGCTCAGGCTTTCTCATGATGTACTCCGCATATAAGTTAAATAAGCAGAGTGACAATATACAACCTTGACGTACTCCTTTTCCTATTTGGAATCAGTCTGTTGCTCCATGTCCAGTTCTAACTGTTGCTTCCTGAACTGCATACAGGTTTCTCAAGAGGCAGGTCAGGTGGTCTGGTATTCCCAGCTCTTTCAGAATTTTCCACTGTTTATTGTGATCCAAACAGTCAAAGGTCTTGGCATAGTCAACAAAGCAGAAATAGATGTTTTTTGGAACTCTCTTGCTTTTTCCATGATCGAGTGGATGTTGGCAATTTGATCTCTGGTTCCTCTGCCTTTCCTAAAACCAGCTTGAAGTTCATGGTTCACGTATTGCTGAAGCCTGGCTTGGAGAATTTTGAGCATTACTTTGTTAGCATGTGAGATGAGTTCAATTGTGCGGTAGTTTGAGCATTCTTTGGCATTGCCTTTCTTAGGGATTGGAATGAAAACTGGTCCTGTGGCCACTGCTGAGTTTTCCAAATTTGCTGGCATATTGAGTGCAGCACTTTCACAGCATCATCTTTTAGGATTTGAAATAGCTCAACTGGAATTCCACCACCTCCATTAGCTTTGTTCGTAGTGATGCTTCCTAAGGCCCACTTGAGTTCACATTCTGGGATGTCTGGCTCTAGGTGAGTGATCACACCATCGTGATTATCTGGGTCATGAAGATCTTTCTTGTACAGTTCTTCTGTGTATTCTTGCCGTCTCTTCTCAATATCTTCTGCTGCTGTTAGGTCCATACCATTTCTGTCCTTTATTGAGCCCATCTTTGCATGAAATGTTCCCTTGGCATCTCTAATTTTCTTGAAGAGATCTCTAGTCTTTCCTATTCTATTGTTTTCCTCTATTTCTTTGCACTGATCACCGAGGAAGGCTTTCTTATCTCTCCTTGCTATTCTTTGGAACTCTGCATTCAAATGGGTATATCTTTCCTTTTCTCCTTTGCTTTTTGCTTCTCTTCTTTTCACAGCTATTTGAAAGGCCTCCTTAGACAGCCGTTTTGCTTTTTTGCATTTCTTTTTCTTGGGGATGATCTTGATCCCTGTCTCCTGTACAATGTCACAAACCTCTGTCCATAGTTCATCAGGCACTTTGTCTATTAGATCTAGTCCCTTAAATCTATTTCTCACTTCCACTGTATAATCAAAAGGGATTTGATATAGGTCATACCTGAATGGTGTAGTGGTTTTCCCTATTTTCTTAAATTTAAGTCTGAAATTACATTACATTTGTAGATAAGACTTTTCTTCAATAGATTATCTTAAATGGATAAATGCTAAATCTGAATCACACCCTCTTTCTTCCTGGAGACCAAGTCTGTGGGTAGATGTCACTGCTGCTCAAAATGATACTTTTAAATATTAGAAAGTTGAACTTACAGCTATGAAGGGGTATAAAGGAACTTGAATCTGCTTTAGAGTCATATTTAAAATCATTCAACAGAATAGACTCTGGGTAGTATAACTTTAAGACACATTGCCAGAACTTCTGAGCCTGCCAGTGGAGGCTGCAAAAGAATCTAAATCCACCCAAAAGGAGGTTATATGGGACCTAAGGTAGTGTTAAATATCACTCAAGCAATTTTAAGAAGAAGATAAGTAGATGTTGATAAAGAGACTACAAACTTACAAAGTAAGTGACCAATCATTAAAAGTGACAGTTTTTCTAAATAAAAGGTAATAATGAATTCAATAAAAATTTGACCAGTTTTGATGGGGGGGAAAAAAAAGAAGCAAAACTGCCCTTACCCGATGTATAGGATCTCTGTTGATCAGTGGATTTATAAGAGGCATTTCAATGAGAGTAGATGCAAGCCCAAGTTCAGTCATGTCTAAAAAGTTTGGCTTTCACAAAACGTGATGTTTCTAAACAGGGAGTGAAAACAGATTAATCAAATTAAATCACAGTGATTTTATTTTATTTATTTATTTATTTTATTTTTTTTAACCTCTGCAATGATGTAAAGTAACACAGTGATTTTAAATGACAATACCTGATGAAATATTCCTAGGAAGATCCATCAAATAATTTTTCTTTCCAGAAATATTTACTTAACTGAAATTGTTCTATGGCAACATTTCAAAATAATCATTTGTCTTCATAAATGAAAAAATAGAAAGTTCGGAGTCAAGTTTTGAGTTGTTCACTATTCACTCACTAAATAAAGATAGCTGCATTTTACAGTGTGAAGAATGGTTTAAACAAGTTATTGGTCATTTGATTCATTCAGACCAAGTTCAGTTAATTTCCAACCTATGATAACTGCTAAATAAGACTTCATATTGCTTAGAAGGCTTTAAAAATTAACTAGATCCCTTTTAAAATGATAGGACCACAGATACTTATCTTAACTGTTTCATATACTAAAATCAAGTATCTTAAACATAACTCAAAGCTTTAAATCCAAACCTTTAAACTTAGAATACTTTCCAGGTTCAAATACTGCATGTGTAAATGGAACCAAGTATTAAAATATGGTGTAACAGTCCAGATCCTTGGGTCCATATACACCTGGACAAAAATCAGAAAGAAAAATATGATATTTTTGAAGGTGGAGAAAGAGGATACTCACGAAGAAACCTCTTGGAGCTAGGCAAGTTCTCCAAATGAAGTGTGTTGTTGTGATTCTACATCTCCGTGGTAACTACTGATGCAAAAGAATTTTCACTATGTCATAATTCTAGTCACTGCTGACATCATTTCCTTACCAAGTTTTTTTTTTTTTTAAATGCAGTCTTTGGAGACTTTTACTTGTGAATATAGCTTTTCAAAAATGAAAGATTTAAAGAAGTATGAAATACATCTAGCAGGAAAATGCATATATTCTCTTAGCTTAGGATTATAAGAAATAGTTACAAACTTAATGTTTTAAATACTACTTAACTGTGAAAAGCACCTTAGACTAATTTATTGTTTTTTTTTTTCATGTTAGCTATGATATCATCGTATTCATGTAACATGTCAAAATCTGGATCGGTTTGACTTTAAAACCCTTTTTTATTTATTTTTTTGAGTTTCTTTTTTTTCCCATTTATTTTTATCAGTTGGAGGCTAATTACTTTACAATATTGTAGTGGTTTTTGCCATACATTGACATGAATCATCCATGGAGTTATATGTATTCCCCATCTCGATCCCCCCTCCCACCTCCCTCTCCACCCGATCCCTCTGGGTCTTCCCAGTGCACCAGCCTGGAGCACTTGTCTCATGCATCCAACCTGGGCTGGTGATCTGTTTCACCCTTGATAATATACATGTTTCGATGCTGTTCTCTCGAAACATCCCACCCTCACCTTCTCCCACAGAGTCCAAAAGTCTGTTCTGTACATCTGTGTCTCTTTTTCTGTTTTGCATATAGTGTTATCGTTACCATCTTTCTAAATTCCATATATATGCGTTATTGTATTGTCTTTATCTTTCTGGCTTACTTCACTCTGTATGATGGGCTCCGGTTTCATCCATCTCATTAGGACTGATTCAAATGAATTCTTTTTAATGGTTGAGTAATATTCTATGGTATATATGTACCACAGCTTCCTTATCCATTTGTCTGCTGATGGCCATCTAGGTTGCTTCCATGTCCTGGCTATTATAAACAGTGCTGCGATGAACACTGGGGTGCACGTGTCTCTTTCAGATCTGGTTTCCTCAGTGTGTATGCCCAGAAGTGGGATTGCTGGGTCATATGGCAGTTCTATTTCCAGCTTTTTAAGAAATCTCCACACTGTTTTCCATAGTGGCTGTACTAGTTTGCATTTCTACCCACAGTGTAAGAGGGTTCCCTTTTCTCCACACCCTCTCCAGCATTTATTGCTTGTAGACTTTTGGATAGCAGCCATCCTGACTGGAGTGTAATGGTACCTCATTGTGGTTTTGATTTACATTTCTCTGATAATGAGTGATGTTGAGCATCTTTTCATGTGTTTGTTAGCCATCTGTATGTCTTCTTTGGAGAAATGTCTGTTTAGTTCTTTGGCCCATTTTTTGATTGGGTCATTTATTTTTCTGGAATTGAGCTGCTTGGAGTTGCTTGTATATTTTTGAGATTAATCCTTTGTCTGTTGCTTCATTTGCTATTATTTTATCCGAATTTGAGGGCTGTCTTTTCACCTTGCTTATAGTTTCCTTTGTTGTGCAAAAGCTTTTAAGTTTCATTAGATCCCATTTTTTTTTTTTTTGCTTTTATTTCCAATATTCTGGGAGGTGGGTCATAGAGGATCCTGCTGTGATTTATGTCGGAGAGTGTTTTGCCTATGTTCTCCTCTAGGAGTTTTATAGTTTCTGGTCTTACATTTAGATCTTTAATCCATTTTGAGTTTATTTTTGTGTATAGTGTCAGAAAGTGTTCTAGTTTCATTCTTTTACAGGTGGTTGACCAGTTTTCCCAGCACCACTTGTTAAAGAGGTTGTCTTTTTTCCATTGTATATTGTTGCCTCCTTTGTCGAAGATAAGGTATCCATAGGCATGTGGATTTATCTCTGGGCTTTCTATTTTGTTCCATTGATCTATATTTCTGTCTTTGTGCCAGTACCATACTATCTTGATGACTGTGGCTTTGTAGTATAGTCTGAAGTCAGGCAGGTTGATTCCTCCAGTTCCATTCTTCTTTCTGAAGATTACTTTGGCTATTCAAGGTTTTTTGTATTTCCATACAAATTGTGAAATTATTTGTTCTAGTTCTGTGAAAAATACCATTGGTAGCTTGATAGGGACTGCATTGAATCTACAGATTGCTTTGGGTAGTACAGTCATTTTGACAATATTATTTCTTCCAATCCATGAACATGGTATATTTCTCCATATGTTTGTGTCCTCTTTGATTTCTTTCATCAGTGTTTTATAGTTTTCTATGTATAGGTCTTTTGTTTCTTTAGGTAGATATACTCCTAAGTATTTTATTCTTTTTGTTGCAATGGTGAATGGAATTGTTTCCTTAATTTCTCTTTTTGTTTTCTCATTGTTAGTGTATAGGAATGTAAGGGATTTCTTTGTGTTAATTTTATATCCTGCAAATTTACTATATTCGTTGATTAGCTTTAGTAATTTTCTGGTAGAGTCTTTAGGGTTTTCTATGTAGAGGATCATGTCATCTGCAGAGAGAGTTTCACTTCTTCTTTTCCTATCTGAATTCCTTTTACTCCTTTTTCTGCTCTGATTGCTGTGGCCAAAACTTCCTAAACTATGTTGAATAGTAGTGGTGAGAGTGGGCACCCTTGTCTTGTTCCTGATTTCAGGGGAAATGCTTTCAATTTTTCACCATTAATGGTAATGCTTGCTATGGGTTTGTCATATATAGCTTTTATTATGTTGAGGTATGTTCCTTCTATTCCTGCTTTCTGTAGAGTTTTAATCATAAAAGGATGTTGGATTTTGTCAAAGGCTTTTTCTGCATCTATTGAGATAATCATATGATTTTTATCTTTCAGTTTGTTAATGTGCTGTATCATATTGATTGATTTGCAGGTATTAAAGAATCCTTGCATTCCTGGGATAAAGCCCAGTTGGTCATGATGTATGATCTTTTTAATATGTTTAAAACACTTTATTTATTTTTAATTGAAGGGTAATTGTTTTGCAATATTGTGTTGGTTTTTGCCATATATCAATATGTATAGCCAAAAATTTGTTTCATTCATGACTAGTAATTGTTTTCTAGGCCATTTTAATGATGGGATTGATCAAGGTTTAAAACAACTTACAATGACATTTAAAAAATGGAGACTGGCAACAAACTATTTGTGTGTGTGTGTGTGTTTATGTGTGTGTGTATGTATATATATATATATCCTCCCATTCCTTACTGTTCATTTCCATTAGAACTTCCAATTATTGGTGCACATGGTATGTTAAATTAATAGAGTTTGTTATTCATCTCTCTATCTTTGCTATAGCTGTGCACCAACTTAGACCTAGGATTAATTTAATCAATGAGTCAATCTTGGGTGACATCCATACATTAACAGATTTTAAGCAGACAGATAACTATCTTTCAGTAAAAATTGAGAAGGGAGTTTTAATTGCTTTGAAATTAAAATTAATTGGAATTAAATTCCCTAAGGTGTAAATGTTTTAAATATTCTTGTTGGTTAACAAGTCAATGTTACAAATGACTAAATGCCCCATTTAGATAGACTGTTTCAAGTATTTCAGTTTTACAGGTTAAATGATTTCTAGTATATAAAGGATCCATTTACCTTTAGCATTTGGAGAATTTCTTGTTCTTTCTCCTCATGTTTTGGTCATTATCTTTTCACTTTAAAGTTAAATGCTAAATTCATGCTTAGATCTTCAATTTCTAGCATTTATGACTAATTATTTACATAAGAACAACCAAAATTTAAGAACAAGAATGGCATCACAACACTTTTTCATGAAGAAGCATTTATTTTTATATTTGGGTTGGGAAGAGCCCCTGGAGAAGAAAATGGAAAATCACTCCAGTATTTTAAAAAATTATTTGTTTATTTTAATTGAAGGATAATTACTCTACAATATTGTGATGCTTTTTGTGATACATCAATATGAATCAGCCATAGGTATACATGTATCCCCCACATCCTGAATCCTCGTCCCATCTCCTTCCCCACTCTATCCCTCTAGATTGTCCCAGAGCACCAGTTTTGGGTGCCCTGCTTGATGAATTGAACTCGCACTGGTCATCTATTTTACATACAGTAATGCACATGTTTCAGTGTTATTCTCTCAAATCATCTCACCCTCTTCTTTTTCCACTGAGTCCAAAAGTCTGTTTGTTACGTCTGTGCCTTCTTTGCTGCCCTGTATGTAGAATCATCCATACTATCTTTCTAGATTGCATATATATATATC